TACATATACGGCCTATAGTATTCAAAATGCAGCAAAAATTAAGTTGGGAACGTCCTGCGACACCTTGCTCAAATGTTCTGAGAAAAAAAAAAAACCTAAAAACCTCGAACGCTTTCATCCCTGATTATTGGACGGGACCTGTCTCATACTGTGTGTTCCGTGTGGGGTCACTCCGCCGTAGTCGAGGGAGCTAACAGCTGCATTGTATTCAGAGAAGGATGTCGCTTGCCATGGCAGAGTGTCTCATTTGTATCAGCACTTGCAAGCTGGAGTTATTAAACTTGAAGGCAGGCAACGTACAGGTCCACTACTATCACAGATTGACGGCCGTTTACTCATCCTTAAAGGCACTTTCCACAATAAACTAAGGCTAAAACCTCTTAAATGTGTCAGATGATCCAGTAGACGAGGTTGCACTGCATTCAAAACTTGGAAAATGGCACGCAAGCACAGCAAACTTTGATTTTAGGCCCAAGGAGGTCCATGCTGGCCTACCTTGCCCGTGTCGTCGTACCAATGCCGTTGTGCTCTCTCGCCCGTCATTTTCTGGTCTCTCTCCGCGCTTTGCAGTGTATCGTCACCTTCTGCATATCACTGTTGATCTTGACCATCCTACTCTCGTCCGATGATCATGATCAAGTGCAAGGAGGAGGGTCATATTGAGGGCGGTTTTTCATACTTTTTCTTCACTACTAAGTCAACTAGCACAATGCACTCCTGTTTTTGAACTCTGCTACCTATGAGATGCAGACGCGGGAAGTGCCTTTCAAGAAGCGTACGTAACCACCAGTATTGCTAGCAAGCTCTCTAGGCTGCACCCAAAAGAAAACTGCCACGCTTCCCCGCAATCTCGTTTATAGGGAGAATTTCGTGGGCGGTTCGACGACAGGGCGGGGGGGGCATTTTGCACTTTCGTTGCTTCACTAGTTCCGGTTTACAAGTCTCACTCTGGTGAAACCTGTGAACTCTTGTGAAGCTGGAGCAACTTCGTGCCATCAGTGTAAAACCTAATGACTCAACAAAAGGCTCTCTATTAGGTCGTTGCAAAAGAAATGCAGGATTTTGCTTGCTTGTATTTCATACTTATTTTATTCCAATAAAATGTAAGTGTTATATATTATTCGAAAGCTTATCTAATGCTCTTTCTAAATGATACTTCAAGATTGGTTGTAATTCTTTTATTATCATTTTTATTGACGTTTTATTGCAGATGTCAAAACGTGAATTTCGCACTATTTTTTCTATGAGTTCAAGCTAGGCCGAAACGCTGCCGAGACAGCTCGAAACATTAACGAAGTTTGGGGTCAAGGAAGTGTCAACGAATGTACGGTCCAACGTTGGTTCCAGAAGTTTCGTTCTGGCAACACCAGCCTTGAAGATGAACCTCATGGTAGCCGCAAACCGACCATTGACAACG